ATTTTATGGTGTCTGTCTGCATTCTTTATGGCAATGTAAGATGTAATGACCACTTGCTGTGGGGCAGAGAAGGGAATGACCTTCTCCCATTGTCAGAAAATTCCAAGGATAGACCTTTCATGGGAATGGGAAGATTTCATGGGAGAAGATGCACTGAGAAACTCAGGACACTGACTATAATATGTCAGGAGAGCACTAAATTTAAAGCAAATATCCTGGTCACTGCACTGTGGGCTTTGTGATGAATTGCAGTGCTCGGAATGGACTGCTGCTGTATAGGAGAGCGGGATATGAAAAGTGAAAAGGAGGTGTTGAAGGAGCAGGATTGGAAACAGTTCTGAGCTGAAGGGCCAGGACTGGAGGGACTGAGCTGGCCAGCTCCAGGTCTGCACTGCAGAGAGCTCGGTTGGGCACTGGCCATGATGTGAGGCTGCGCAGTGCCACGAATGGCACAGAGCCCAAAGCAGCTCAGCCAGCTGTGAGGGGCCATTGAAGAGAAGCGAGTTGGGGCTCAGACCGACTGGCTTGCCAGAGGATGGGCAGCTCTTGGAAAAAGGCCACTGCAGGGGAAGGAGGGGGAGTGTGGCTGCAGGGGGAGYGTAGCTGCAGCCTCAGTGCAGGACGTGAAGGAGATGTTGATCCCAGGACTGGCAGAGGTAGGGATGTGGTTGAAATACTTCTGATTTGGCTCTACTGACTCACCAAGAGGGCACGTTCCTGTTCTCTACATGCACTTTTGCAAAAAGAGTGAAAGGGCACTCCCCACAGCTCAGCTGGCTGTGCYTATTATCAAAATAGTCCCCCAAAACAATGCGGATGAGCACGAGCAGGAAGCAGTGGATGATGAGCCTCCTAGAAACCCCCTAACGCTGGGAAAGGATTATGATGTTACTGCTGGGGCATCCCCAAATCCATCCGCTAAGCATCCCTTATCAGCAGTGCTGCAGGAACCCCTTGCGCCCAGCACTGCGTGCGAAGGTCTTTGAGGGCATCACTGGCTCCCAAACAGTCGGATGGTTGTTTTGTCTGAAGAACAGAGAAATGAGGAAGGACTGGAGTGATATGTAGCAAGAAAGCAAGTCCTAGGTATGACATGAGGTTGTGTGAGCAAAGGAGCAAGGAGGCAGCCTAATTACAAGGATCAAGAACTTAAAGCTGCAGTGACGAATGGAGTCATACTGGCTGACTGGATCCCTCCTTTTAACATACAAACACCTACGTACAGACATGAAGTCATTTGGATCTGAAACCCACAGGGCTGCTGAGAAAGGGAGTTAGGACTCTAATGGTCATGATCACAACCTACAATCCCTTCCAGGAACCAACTGAAGTCCTTTTTGAAAGTAGTTCTGCTTTTCCCAATCCCGAATAAGGACAGAACCCTCTTACTCTCTTGCTTTAGAAATCCACTTCTTTGTTGCTGCTCAATGCCTACTCTCTTGATACTTGTACCAGCACTGCCCTTTAGTTTAGCAGAGTCTAGAATGGCTTTTAGTCGACATTAAGTGGGGAATAAAACCTATATAAAGGGCGAATCCTGCTGTAGCAGCAAAGGCAGCTCTGTTACAGTCCTGTAACTTGCTGCTGGGACACTACGATGATGACTGTAAGGTGCCACCGAGTCACGCAGCTGAGCTCACCCACAGCTCCACACGGTTCATCCTCCACCTATGCACCCTCTTGGGACTGGCCCGTCGTCTTTTCTTGGCTTGCATTTTGTTAAGGCAGCTTGGAATACATTACGATATACTGTTTAATGTATATGRGAAGCACACCTGTATACTACAGCTTGGCCACACTGCCTTTCTCTTTTTTGTCTGCAATCGTCTGTAAGCTGCGATCAGCTGTAATCCCAACGCTTAGTTTTGAGTAGTAAATAAATAAAAAAGGGASTTGAATAATTTTTCTCAACCTTCTGGAAGTCAGCAATTCAGAACTGAATAATCTTTTCCTCTAGCAGTAGTTTTTGGTATCAGTGTTAAGGAAAGTCCTCAGCAAGGTATTTCTTCCTACTAGTCTCTAGAAAATCTAGTACCTTATCAAAGAAAGATACCACGTTAGTTGACCTAAGAGCCATTACTGACAGTGTTGCATCATGTCATTTTTTCCCTTTGATGTCTTTAGTTTTACTAATCATTTCTTTTAAAATGTTCTGAAGCCTATAGAGAAATGCTTAAAATCTGATTGCCAGCATAAATAAACTTAAATATGAATATATACATGTGTGCTTAATCTATGTCAAGATAAGCATGTTGGAACTTTAAACATTAGTAGTGTTTAATGTACCAGTTTTATACTAGTATATAATTTAGATACTTTTGTACTTATCAGTATTTTTTTCTTTTTTTTTCTCAAGATGTAGATTGTAGCACATCATGCCAGTGAGAATAGGTTGGCAGGCTCCAAGCAGACTGGGTATCTGACCTGCCTACAATGAARCATGCAGATCAGAGAAAAGAATATGAGGGAAAAAAAGCAGAAAGTATCAGTGAGAAAACAAAGAAACAGCAATAGCCTGTCCAAATCTTTTTTTTTTCAAACTACTATTTTCAAAAAGAACCCAGAAACAAAAGCATTTAAATGCAGCCATTTGAAAATATGTATATAACYGAGTAATTATTAAGAAAAGTCAGCAATCAAGTAGGACCTCAATTAGATGCCACTATAAAGAAATAGAGGAATCTGAAAGAATTTCTCCACCCAAGTTATTTCTAATTTCCCACAGAGCTGAAGTAGACAAAGGTGATTTGTCTGTCTGTAACTAAGAAAGTTCATGTGCTGCTATCAATAAATATTAGAATTTGCATAAGAAATTCTGGTGTCAACYAATTCCCCTATTGAACAGAGCAGAGAGGAAGCAGAAGTAGCAAAAATGACTAAACAACAATGACATGCACATCATTCAGTAACAAAATAACCCCCCCCCCCAACAGCCAATTTAAGACAAAAATATTCTGCAGGGACTACTGCAAATGAAAGGRACAAAGGAATGTATAATTAAAACAGAGTTTCTACAAGATGGTGTCCTGTTCTTCGCTATTTGCTTTAGCTCTTCAACTTAATCTGCTGATGTATAAAAATAGAGGAGGTTCATAAGTCAGTAATATTGGAAATATGAACCTCTTCAGAAAATGCTAGCTCTGCATAATTCAAAACAAAACTCTGTAACCCTTTGGCAGAGTTAGGTTCCTTGGGATGAGTGTTTATCATTAAGCCCTGTCATTAAACACTCCGTGCAGCTGCCTACTGAATTACTTACAGGGACTTCTACCACTGCAGAAAGCTGCTGCCACCAGTTGTTCACAGCTATCTGGCTTCTGAGATGAGGACTTTAAACAGGACACTAAGCCAGAAGAAGTTTATTTGTTAAAAACAGAGTATTTTAAAGAGACATGGCTGCTTCAAAAACAGTTCCTCCCATGTTTAGGCAAACCTGATGATAACAGAAGAACATAAACTTGCAATCAGCCATTTAGGGAGTATTATATGGTTCAGAAACTGTTTACTTCTCGCATGATTCCAATTAAAAATACATATCTCTAGAGCACTTTGTCAGCTCTGTCCTGCAGCATAAGGGATGCTTCCTCCTTTGAAAATAAAAGCTATAAGCCCAAGAAAACTTAAAAGAATGAACAAGAGAATGAAAATAAGATGTTAAGAAAAAAAAAAAAAAAACCCTGGCAGGCCTCTCTGGCTCAGTCACATCAGCTTGTACATGAAAATCCAAAATATTGACTAGAAAATGACTAGAAGTGAAACACACAAATCACTGCCTGAACTGGGAAATAGCAAAATGAAGCTGTAAAAATAATGCGAATAGTAAGTTTGGTAATCAAATGTGTTTGAAACATAAAGGATTTTATAAAAATATTTATCCTAATAACATCCCGATAGAAATTTTATGTTAGCAAAAGTCATGTGGTACCACTAAGTTACCCAGCATAGTGCATGTCAAATGCTGGAGGGAACAGATAACCAAATGGCATATGAAATGTTTAAATAAGGTGAAAGTCTCTCCAAATACAAGGATACGTGTGGTGACATAGATATAAAATATGACTGCTGAGACACACAGCCAAACATGCAGAAACCATGTTCTTTAGACATGCTTCACACYAGAGTCAGTAAGAAAAGATGCTGCTACTCTAAATGTCTGGTCCAAGAACCGACGCAGCTTGGTGGGTGCTCCTCTCATCCTCACACGTATCTGAAAGGAGGCAAGAGAAAAAATTAGGATGGGTAAAATAAAAAATGATGGCTGCCCTTCAGTGAAAGTACCGCGGAAGGGAGAGTTGCCAGAAGCAGATCTTCTCCCTCATCAGAATGGTGAACACTGAAGACAGCACCACTTTAATGGACAATCAGGAGAGCCACCCTTTTCTAAGAGGATGGTCTAGCAAGAGCACCAACAAGAACTTGAACTCTGTAGTTTTGCAGCATTCTGCTTTTGTTACAGCTACTGTGACTATCCCTCACGCTGGCACCAGGACCAGCATTTCAGGCTATTTCTGCTGCTTCCCACCTCCCAGGTGGGACCAGTAGCCTGGCTCCGTCTGTTGACCTGGCTCCATCTGTTGACTCTTCTAAGGGCTGCACATACATTCACTAGACCCATGCCAAAAGAGTYGATTTGTTCCAGAAAGATAAGGAAGCAAAGCCACGTGCATGAGGCAACAGGGAAGGTCTGGAAACCATGATCTCTCTTTAGGTGGATGTTTAAGTAGAGAGAACCTTTGCATTCAGTGCCAGCTGGATCCTTCAGTTCCTGCATTCAGCACAGCACCGGAGCGTGGTCTGTCAACATGCCAGATGTAGCACACAGGAATTGTGTGTTGGTATTCAAACCACCACTGAATTTAGGCTCATTTCTCTAGGCTAAAACTCTCTTAATTTTGCAGAAAAGCTAGTGAACATCCTGGACTCTTGAATCACAAGTAAAGATGTAGCCCTGTGCTTTGCTGCAGCTAAAGAGGAGCTTTCAAATTCAGTCCTCACTTCTGCCTCCACAGCTGTGCCAGCTCGAGGCAGAGGAGGGGATGAGTGGGCAGAGCAGAGCTTTCCTCACCATGGTTGTGCTTCCCCACGAGAAACTAGGATTTCAGATCATCAGCTAAAGAAACCATCAATACAGAACTGAGCAGGTAAGTTCTACTACTACTTAAATTTGGAAGTGCTCTGGTATCCCAGCTGATCCTGTGGCAAATCCACTTGCAATCAAAGTCAAAATAAAAAGCAGTTATGTGTGCTGATGACCAGAGCAGGTAGACTCACCAGTGCTCATCTGAAAGATTTCTTTTGATTTCTATAACAAATGTACCCTAAATAGGGGAAATCAAAACGCAGTRCGAACATCTCTAGCATCTCCTACAAATGCATTTTAAGTTATTGTACTGGCAGGATGAGAATCCATACAGATTCTTCCGTGCACCAGCTGCAGATGCAAGGACTCTCTAAACAAGCTGGCCCGTGTAAATTCAACCTTACACATGCACCACCCTCCTCCAGAGCCTTAGAAAAACACCACTGCAACATAGAGCCATTTTACAAAACAATTATCTTTATAGAAAGGTATTTTAGTGGCATATGTTGAGGTAAAGAATAAAAACAGACCCAACAGAGGGCACTACCAGTGTTATGGAGAACTCCGGGTAAAATTTGGCCAAAAGCCTGTTTTATAAAAGCTAATTATTTACCTACCAGTTATGATCCCTGGCAAGGTGCTTATTGCTATCATACTTCAAAATAATTCTTCAGTTTACAAATTGAAAAATATATGAAATTAGATCTGTATGAATGTTYGATATTAGCTGTCACAAATTTTAAAAGGCATTATACCGAGTTTTCTTGATTGTTTACTAACCAATTTGATTTTAGCAGGTGTATAAACTACAGCATACATTTTACCTGACACCATGCATCAAAAATCACCATAAAAACTAAGTTTATCAAAGTCCAACTCCACAAGGAAAACATGAAAAAGTGCAAATTATGTACCCAGTATTTCTGTCACAGCTGATTTTTCTTAATATGGCATGAGAAAGGTTTACAGCATATATTACGAAAATTCTTACAAGTGTTCACCTCAATGCTTATATATACAACATTTTGCTCAAAGTGCTCACTCTATGAAAAAAACAAAAACCTGTTTGGATAAAAATATTTCAACAGTGCTTTCTGAAGGGTCGGAGAAGATTCCTGCAACGCGTCGGTCCTGTTTGCCTTCCTCGTCACTCAGTGCAATGAGATGGAGCAGTCCCATCCCTGCGGAGGGAGGCCGCGCTCGGCAGCGCCGCGGGGGCCGCGGTCACAGCGGCAGCCGGGATGTCCCGTTGGCCGTCGGCCTTTTGTCTTTCCGCGCGTGGCTCTGGTGCTTCCGAGATCTCACCACTTTCATGCGCACTTCAAACACTTCTTGTATGGCTTTCCGAAAGCAATGGAAGTTGTAGTCTATTAATCCTGTAGAGATAGGAGTATTTTTCAGATTAATAAAGCTTTACATGAATCAAGTTAATAAAAACAAAGGCTTATATTTACTGAAATATCTCGCTCTCTCGGGATCACCATCAGTCAATCTTCTAGGCAGTTTTTCATAATGCACACAGAATCACACTTGATAGATACAAGTATTTCAGTGAGCATTATAGCATCATAGTATGCGCTGTATTAAAAATATGTACTAGTCTTACTAGTAAAGTTAAGTAAATGGACAGTTGAAAGTACATTTGCAGATAAAGGTTTAACTTAATTAACAGCTTTAGAGAAATACTCTGTATGCTAAGATAAAAATTAAATTCTTTCTCAGATTGTGTCATTTTATAACTGAAATAGAAATGAGTAGAATATTGTGAATTTTTATGCGTACACTTTGAGATTGATAGTCAGTGGAAACATGATCAAGTAACAGGTTTTCATAACAGCCAGTTATACCTCATTCTATATTGTGATTTAAAAACAAATACCTTAGACATGTTGTGAAGTTACATGCATGCATAATTACCACGTGAGGGGCCACAGAAAAGCTGTAAAGCCAGATGAGTATTCAATCTGAACACTTACTGAGGGTGACAAATTGTGTAATATTGCAACACAATTGTAGGATTTTGGTACTGAGCTTATGACCCCGTTCAAGGTTAATGCCATAAGCTCTCTTAACTCAAATACTGATGAGTTTTTCACTTTAATTTCCCCAACAGGAAATGATACATATTTTAAGTGGTTTAAATCAACCAYATTGATTTTTTTTTTTCTGCAGGAATTGTATTCCCTCTCACCAGAGTTCAGACAAAATATTGTTTGGAAGTCACCAGAAAAGTGCACTGCAATACCAGGGCTGTGTGTCTGAAATGTACTAATTACGGTACCGTGTCCCAAACTATGTACACACAAAAACCTGACAGTCACAAAGCCTGGCGAGCGTTTATCCAAAACAGTGCATTTTCTGACACAATCCTGTTAGCAGGTATGTCAGTGTAAGGCACTAAAAAAAGAAAATGACAGCATCTAACATTAATAATAATGCTGGCAGAGCTGCTAAAGGGCATTCTGAGCAACTGAAGGTCTATGAAAGGGAAGCTAAGTGCTCTGTGCCTCGTGCGCAGGCACAGCACGAGTGTCCAGCAGCCAGAGAGCGCGCACAACCGCAGCAAGGCTGCCTCGTGGCGATCAAGAGCAGCCCCTTACTAATACACGTCACAGAAGGGCCGAGGTGGGAAGGGATCTCTGGAGATCATCCAGTCCAACTCCTCTGCTCCAGCAGGGACACCCAGAGCACGGGGCACAGGGCGGCATCCAGGCGGGTTTGAAGATCTCCAGAGAAGGAGACTCCACAGCCTCCCTRGGCAGCCTGTGCCAGGGCTCTGTCACTCTCACAGTGAAGAAGCTCTTCCTCACATGCAGATGGAACCGCTTGGGTTTCAGCTTGTACCCAGTGCCCTTGCCCCGTCCCTGGCCACCCCTGAGAAGGGCCACGGGCAAGGAGCCGTGCAGGCTGCAGCAATGCCACTCTGCTCTGCTCCAAGGGCAGCTGCACCATGAGCTCCGCGCGGCGCCAATGGGCTAAACCTTCCGCATTGCCTCGGAGCACRGGCAGCGGCACCGCCACGACCCGCTGCGCGCTGAAACTCCCAAAATGGAAGCTGCTCCGCTCATCAGGATGCTGCTTCTCAAAGCCCCCTTTCAGAGGCAAGGAAAGCAGGAACGTACTGCTTTCCATCTGCCACCTTCAGGAATTTTCCCTCAGCTACAGCAGAAGTGCTGTTCCACGTGCATATGATAGTGGCTCCAAGTACAAAGCAGTGCCAGCCAAGATAAAAGGACACTTTCTACTGTTGCAGATGGAAGGTTATTTCCCTGGACGTAAACTATATGCTCTGATACCAGAAATCTGTCAAAGGTATTTATGATTTCGTCTTATCTTAATGCCAGCACAAATACCCCATTCCTTTAAACATGATGTTCTGCAAGCTCTGCCAGGGTGTATTTACCTTTTCTATTTGTGATACAGCTAGAAACTGTATCAGCAAATGACAAGCACAAAGTTATTCATTGACTTGCAAATGTAAAGCAAAAGTAAGGCAATATTAGACCAGGGAAAATACCTTTTCTCTCAAAGCTTTCTTCTCTTACAAAGCAAACAAGAGCAAGGAATTTTGTCACTTCTTTCAAATACAGGACAGTTGTGTTGTTCAGTTTTATGATTGCCATTGATTCTTTGTCATAAGGAGTCCCAGTACCATCATCTTTGAGCCTAAAGTAATATTAAAATAATTAAAATACACATATATGCACAAACAAGATAAGCCACCAAACAYGCTAAAAAAAGCATCCTGCTTTGGTTCTTTCATGAAATAACTTCCAAGTAAGAAATTTTAATTTCATCAACCTTTTAGTAAGATTCTTCTTTAAACCAGACAGTGTAAAGTAAGGAACACAAACTTTAAGTCATTGGTAAGAATTTCAGGCTACACTCTCTGGTAAGTACACTATGGTAKAACTTAGAAGTATAAACATCTAAATGCACTATTTCTACCTTTGTGTGCCCCTGCCATTCCCAGGAATAGCTGGCATTCCTCTTGGGCGAGGGCCAAGCCATGTAAAGCCATAATGTAATTGCAAGGAGATGTACATGCTACTCCAGAAGTTTTACAGTTGCTAATGGAAAGGGATAGGAAAGTGAAAAAAATAAGGGTGGGAAAGGGAAGGAACAGATGACTGGATGAAGCAAGAGTGAAGCAGCAATGTGAGGCCACTAGAGGCCCCTAGCTATTAAGTAAACCAAAGGAGTAAATAGGCTTTTTACTAAAATGGCAAGCATCCTTTTGTTTAATTTGGCCATGGGGAACAAAAGATAGTGTTAATGTTTCCTTTTGTTTAAGGACGGTTACTTCCCACTCCTTCCTCCAAATAAAGTTGCTAGCGTAGATAAAGGAAGGTGCTCACAAAAGGGCTGTGGCAGGGAGCACTCCTTGCTGGCTGAGGAATCTGTACCTCAGAGTGTGGCAAATTATATTGCTGTTAGTGCTTATACCAACTTCATTCCAATTTTGAGGTAATTCAGAATGTGGGTACACAGATCTAGCAAGGTACTTACCCATATATACAAGAAATGTCAATCACAACATCTATCATATCACAGCAAAGCTCGTAAGTCTGCATATCCACCGGAGTACTGTCCGTTGCAATATAGATTTTACTGACTACATCAAATAAAAATGCTTTTTCAATACCAGAATTCTATTAAGAAAAGAAAGAAAAATAATTTGAAGACATGACTCCAACTTTAACACCAATCTTTGTTCCTCTATTTGCCTATTACATTAAAAGTTAGGCTGAGTAAGTGAAAGTTACCTTGCAGGCATGCTGCTTTTGGCAGAACTGCAGAGCACTCCTATTTCTGTAGCAAACAGTGATGTTCACAGGCTTCCTAACCCAGGTAAGGACAACTGCACTCACCTATACAGCCCTGCTTAAAAACACTTGCCTTAGCTGTTATATAGGAGAAAAGAGCGAGAAAGAGGAAAAAAAAAAAAAAAAAAAAGGCAGTTTCTGGATCTGGACTTCTGCTAAGTCAGATTCCTAAACACTCCCTCTCTGGAAAACATCCAGAGAGGTTACATTTATTTTCTGTTAAAAAAGTTCCAAAAATATCTTTAGAGGTCAGGCTTTTGGAGTCTTCCTCCTGACTCTGACAGTGGACAAAAGAAGAAGGCTGTAACTTACACTTATTCTAGCTGCACACATACAAGGGGGGAAACAAGAAAAGAAAAAGAAACAGGGCACAAGGAGGAACTGAAATTCTGAGAGCGGCAGGGATTARAATTAGTATCTTAAGGCAATTGGGAAGCTGTCTCAGCGGGGTCTCTAACTGTGGCAGTGCTTGGCTCCTCAGAACATGTCTGAGCCTCAAAGGAGAAAGAGCAGCACTTTGGTGACGACYTGTATTGGTATTCTGGTGATGACTGAGCCCTGGGGTGGCACTGCTGGTCACAGCCCCGCTGGGACAGCCAAGGCAGCTGCTGTGAAGGACAGTGACGTTCCTGCCACCCCGCTGAGCCCATTGAGACACTCTGCACTGGAGATGCATCCTCTCTGCTGCTCCAAGAGGCTGGCCAGGAAAGCCAGCTCAGCTCCAGCTCAAACTCTTTGGGTAGGGAAGGTGAACTGCAATAGGCCTCTGTTTCCATAAGAGAAAAAAAAAACCACAAACAGAAAAAGAAAAGAGGTGGAAAACAAACAAACACAGTGTTCTGTTTAACTGAAAATAGCAGTTTTGCTTCCAACGAACTGCACCTGGTTAGCTGTCCCAGCAGAAACACAAAGGGCAATTTCCCAGGACTGCCAAAGCTCAATTATCAAATATGCTTCAGATACTAAATACACACGAAGAGAAGAAACCTTCTTTCTATCATTTCCCTGTATATAGGCTTCCCTATTAATAGCTAGGGACTGTTGCCATAGCTGTTTTGTAATTACTAAAACTGCTCTGAAAAATCCCTAACATTTTAACATTTTTAGCTTGGTTTACATTTACTTTTCTTCCTTTTCGTCTTCTTCTCCCTTCCTAAATGAACAATTTAGCAAACAAGAGACTAAAATGACCTTCACACTTCCCCACACTTCCCAGATTCTCTGAAACAGGTGCAAAGAGCTCAACCCAGGTATGCTACTGTACAAGAGCCAAGAATATTTTGGACAGTTTCATTTTAAAGAGGTTTAAATCTGCCACCAACACATAAGGAACTATGACTGGAAATACCCATCCATAATGACAAAGAACAAGGAGAATTTCTTGTCTTTCATTATAAAAAAGACTCCATGAATGGCACATTTCAATAATTCATTAATAAAAATATTCAAACCAAAATATACATTCTGGATACCTTACGTACATGGACACATGGGCTAAAGCACATGATTCACAAGGGCTAAAGGGAGAGGTCACTGCTATTTACAACCACCTAATACCAGTGTGCAGGGATGAGAAAGCAAAACTCCTCCAGGAGCAGCAGAGTGGAAGGACAAGKGGCAACAGAGAAGCTGCAAGAAACTCTTTTCAGCCGTGCTGTGAGCATTAGTAGCAAAAGTGCAGATATATACATTYATTTTGCTTATTCTGGTCACATGTGAGAGTTGTGCAACTTTCWGTATTTTCAAATAATACACTAATGCTCACAGAACCTCAGACTTCAAAGGACACTGTTAAAGAACATCTCCAGCAGGTCGAGGAAGGTGACTGTCCCCCCTCTGCACAGCCCTGGTGAGGCCACATCTGGAGACTGTGTCTAGTTCTGGGCTCCCCAGTACAAGAGGGATGTGGAGCTGTTGGAGAGAGTCCAGCGCAGGGCTACGAGGATGATCTGGAACATCTGCCCTATGAGCAAAGGCTGAGAGAGCTGRGCCTGTTCAGCCTGGAGAAGAGAAGGCTGAGGGGGGACCTGATCAGYGTGTATAAATACCTCAAGGGATGGAGGGAGAAGGAGGGGGCCGGCCTCTTTTCAGTGGTGGCCAGTGATAGGACTGGAGGAAGTGGCCACAAGCTGAGGCACCAAAAGTTCCACAGGAACTTAAGGAAAAATTTCTTGACAGTGAGGGTGACAGAGCCCTGGAACAGGCTGCCCAGAGAGGTTGTGCAGTCTCCTTCTCTGGAGATCTTCAAAACCTACTTGGGTGCAGCCCTGTGCCACAAGCTCTAGGTGACCCTGTGTGTGTTGGGGAGTTGGACTAGGTGATCTCTAGAAGTCCCGTCCAACTTTAAGGATTCTATGATTCTATGAAATGGGATTATTCACAGGACTCATGGTGTATAATAATAGCTGTAGACACTATATAAATAGTTATTTGTAATATATTGCCATAAGACTTATTTAAAATGAGAAGAAACTTCAGGTAAAAGCGTTTGGAGAAGAAACTCTGTAGCATCACTCATGAAGAGCTGATTAGACAACTTTCTATTATAAAAGGAGAGACATGCAGCTATTCAGCTGTTCAGGTAAAATGTTCTTTAAAATATYAAGATTTATGTAGCAAATATAATAACCTGTAACCCTCTCAGAACTCTAKCAGTTGCAGTCTGTCTATTCTTGCAGTACCAGTTTAAAGGCTTTCAACACGAGATGTGTGCCATGCCGGGTGGCAGGGGCAGCAGAAAGTTGCGCTGTGGGGACTCGATTACTGCAGGCTGGAGCTTGGCATCTTCCCTGAAGCCACTGTAATTGTCAGTTTGAACTGACATGAGCAGCTGAGAAACAGACTGCTGAACTTTCTGTGGTAACAGGCACTGCTGCAAAGCAGTAGGAGTAACAGACACTGACACTGTGCAAGTGTGACGTGACAGATTTCATCTGCCAGRGGTTTTAGTGCGCCTTTTACTGACAGGAGAAGGGACTTACCACAGTGCCTGTAAAAAAAAAGCTCAGGAAAAAAGGTGGTTTACAAGGTCATAAGAAGTTAGGAAACACTGGGTTTAAACACCGATATAAAAAAAACCCACTAGTCAAAGAGATCATATAACTGATGTTCAGTGACAGAAATGATGCTAAGAAATCAAGTGTTTTTCTTACTAGAGCACAAGGCATCTTGTTAAGAGAACAAAACCCAACCACTGCCTTATTGAGCTGAACAAAATTCTGCCACTGAGGTCAATGGGAACGGGGTCAGAGTAAGTATTGGCCATCTGGGGCACAACCCTACCAGACTGGGAAAACATGCAGGGTATCACCAGCYATTTACAGCTAGACATGAGTTTTGGACAGGTATTTAAGCAGGCCTTGTGGCAAACAGAATTGAGTGAATATTAAACAGTACATTTTGATTTATAGATTGTGAAGTTTAAATAATAAAATTAAGCAAAAAAAATCTATTTTTCTCCACTATAACCCGTTGATTGTTTTTAATGCATGTTTTTCTAAACAACAAAGTCTTAAAGGAAAAAGGAATATCCATTCTCATGCCACATAATTTCTCAGTGTGGCCATGGTAGTGAAAAGCAGATAACCTTTTACATGAAGTTCATGCAATGTTAACAAAGATTTATGTGGTTTTTAAATGCCAAACTAACAGTGGTATCTTATGCTTTGCAGATGGCTGGGGTAAAGAATACAGAAGCTCACACACTGTGGCACTGTAAGAAGTCATGCAAAAACCTACGACCAACTTTAAATGACCACAAATTTATTTTCATAATTATCAGCTATTTCTCTTGGAAAGCTTTTAGGGTGTAAATTAAAGCATTTCCTCATGAATATTGTTCAATTGCAAAAACTAAACCAGAACACCAAACCTACACTTGCTATCCAGAACACAAAGCTTCCTGAACTAAGGCACGACCCAAATCCACATCGAGATTCCTAACCAGATTGGTTCTGATGCACTAAAGAAAGAGGCACCTACTATTTACTTCTATCCTACAGGAAAAAAAAAAAAGTATTCTCTTCTGAGGGTTGCACCAAATTCATTCCAAGTCTCCTACCTACAGCTCTTTTCCACCTCAGAAGACAAACTGAGGACTCAAGAGCAAAACATAGCTGTTGATGAGCAACAAACCAGATGATGCTCTATTTGGACTTTTTTAAAAAAAGTTTGAGACTCTTTTCTCTTCTGGGGAATGTCTCAGCAGCACTTTTCTGTTCTTAGATGGTGTCACATAAGCATCTTAATATATAACTGCTCCAAAACTGGATATCCATCACCTTTCCATTACCTTTCTACCACGTGTAAAGCGCAAGACTGGAAGTCTAGCAACTTTACTAGAAACAATCTACTACAACAAGCTGTTTATTATGAAGCAGCATCACACACTGCCAGCTACTAAGAGAACCCAAGTAAACCCAGCCCTCCCTTTTAACAACACATCCAGCCTATTTCTCTCCTCTAATTTCATACCCTGTACTGAAAGACTACGAAGTCTAATTTGATCTTAGCAAGCTATTGAACAATATTAAATAATCCCATTACATCAAGATCACATGTCATCTTCACTGGTAACAGGCAATTATATATTCAAAGTTTCCCCACTGGCCTTGAGCATAACTATCACACTTGGAATGGATTCTTATCTCTGGAAATTTTAAGACAAGTGAAGATTCTCTTAGGTGAACTAAGCTTCAATAAATAGAAGAAACTATTCTAGAAGGCAGTATAGACTGTTCTACATAGGAGGTCAGACAAGACAATGTTCCTCTGCATAATTATTTATGCAGATTAAGTACTACTTAAAAACAAACAAGCAAACAAAATACAGCTTTGCAACATTCAAGTTAACTTATGAGTAGAAAATTAATAACTGCTCAGGCACTTYATGTGTTGTTTTCATTTGGCAGGTTACTGTGAATACGTCAGCAGCACATTAAGACTCTTTAATAGACAAGGTGGGGCCAAGCTTTGTGTCACTACATTTCAATGAATTTCTGGACTTGTCTGGGACTCCAGAAGTCTCTGACTTCTGCCAGCTTCTCTGGGAGCTCACATTGCTCACAGTCTCTCAGAAGGTTCTCAACAGATAGCTGAACATGCGTGTTGTACATTGCTGGCTCTAAACACAAAGTACATAACAAGTACTTACTGAAATAAAGATGTTAAGTAGGTTTTCCAGTGTTGGGAGCTGTGGAATCAGTTTCTGTACCACTTTGCTAAAGGCTTCAAATATAGAATGATCATATATGCTTGTCAGATAAAAGCTGGAAGAAAATGTCACCATATTTTCTTTTTAGCCACATATTGTGAACATGATGTACCTTGCATATGAGTGAAATGAAATATTGTCAAAACACTAAGTTCCAAAAATTATGCAATTACCCCTTGTGATCAAAAGTTACATGTTGTAATTGAAACACAGGATTTCATGCTGGAAAGTATATACTCTCGTGATTATATTTGGCATGATAGCACATATGGCTATACACAAAACTCCAGACACTGTAAACTGACACTTGATGTACAATGTTATGATTTAGTTTTCATCTTGGTATTCTTAGGAAAGTATGTTTTATACTCGAAGAGGGCAATATTACTGAATCTACACATTGTGATTTACATTTAGGCTCACTGAACAACAAAATGATGCAGTCAAGTTGTTGCAGTCCTGCTGCAGCAGTCAACTCTGGGAGTTGACATGTTCACGAAATGGGTCTCTTTTTATTAATATATTTGTACTTGGCAATAAATCCTAAAGTGGACACCAAACTTGATGTCTCCTAGTTCCTAGTCTGCAAAAAAATACATTATTTTTCATTATTTGCTGTGATAATCTGCTTCATCCACAAATATACTGCAGAGCTACAACCACTTGTCTCCCCAAGCAGCAACAAACACTAGTGGCTGGGAGTGGAATACGAGATTGAGGATGGCTTTCAAAGCAGGCAAAGGGGAGTCAATCGGCAAATAGAGTCTGCCAGGGTCTGACATTTTTCCAAATTTTACTGCAAGACAGCAACTGCTGGAAAAACTAGTAAGACTAAAGCTTATTCATCATCTGTTTGTAAGCATTTCCCTTCCCCATCTATCCCTCYGAAAGGGCATCCAGAAGAACAATCCTTTGTCGGACTCAGGACAAAAGCAGTGACCATGACTGACCCTTTCCTTTACAGACCAAATTCCTGTTGCCCGTTACTTCAACAGAACAGAAAACTGTAACTTGTCTGATGAGCTGCTCTCATCTTCAACTCAAATTTCTTTGCCCAGCAACTTCTCTCACCTGAGGTGAATTTTCTCCAATCCAGCATCCGCAAGGTCATCATTTGCTCTCTGGTGAATATCTCTTTGCGTTTCAATCTTGTGGTCATCTGATAAGCCATCCACTTTATGGATAAAGATTTCAAAGTTGATATCGGGATTCACTTTATAGGCTCTGGTCACAGTAAGATGCAGCCGAGCTAATGCCTCCATATAATCATCCTAATGAAGGAAAAATAAATCAACAACTGTAGGACTTGGTTTTTTTCTGTTTTTTTTTTTTTTTTGAATATGGTACTTACTTTTAGATAATGCTACAGTTCAAGAACAGTTTTTTCCTGATACTGTAAGCAGAGGCCTGACCCTATATCCAACACATGCACTGATCTCACACTGTCAGCTRCTGGGAGCCCAAGCGAGATGCCTGACATGTCAAAGCAAACTAGTTAACTGCTTCTCAGCACTCTGAGGATAGAGGTTAAAAATAACCAAACACTTCTTCCAGTATAATGACTTTCTTCAAATGTGTGTTTGTAACAATAAGACATTTATTTGCTTTAGAAATAACCCTTCATGCTTTCCACTCTATCTCCCTACTGCTGAAGAAAGAAAAGAAAAAGTAGCTTAAAAGCAACTTTTTTTTTTTTTACCTGAGAATCAATAACAAATATCAGTGCTCCAGTGCCTCTGAAAATCATCTCATAATCAAAGGTAGGGTCAAAGAAGTCAATTTGCCCAGGAAAATCCCATATCTGAAAGTTGACGAAGGAGCTGTTGGAAACATCCTCTCTGCAGATCTTGTTGGTGCTCTCCAAGAAGAGGGTCTCATTTGGTGACATTTTGTGAAAGACAACCTTCTGAATGGAAGACTTCCCACTTCTTCTCAATCCCATGAGCAGGATTCTTGGTTTAACTTCAGTACTGAAGGGATCATTGAAATCCAAAACTGAACGAAATAACACAAGAAGATACCTAGTATACTACAGCAATATCATATAATCACACACAGTAAAATATCTAATTTTACCCTTCATCAGCTGCAGAATTTGAACTGATATTTTTGGATAGCAACTAATACCATTACCATACATTTAAGGAATATATTCTTAACTACAAGACCACTTTTAGAAACTCAGAAGCTACATAAAAACATTTTCCCTTCCTTACCCCAGTTGAGATTTTGGAGGAAAACTAACATAACTTCTCTATTGCAACTTAATATTCTTTGCCTCTTTAAGAATAGACAGAGTATGAATAGTTTGATTAACAGGTAGAAAATCGACCCAAGTATAAATAATTTGCTTTTGAATAATAGCAAATAAATTGCACAAAACGCAAGTATATCTGTAACCTATCTGTACAACTTAATTGTATTTCTTCTTGTATCTAATAATCATATATCTAATAAATCTTAACTGATTTATTACTGATTTAAACTGTTGATTTGTAAATGAAATCACATTATTTTATCCGTGTTTACCTGACCACAAACAGGAGGTGGAAAAACATGTGTTACAATGCTGACACAAAACAAAACTCATGTTTCTAGACAAAAAAAACTTTGAAAAACAAATGTTGTGGCTTTATATACATTTTTTACCTTTAGGTCCGGAATTTATAAAAAAAATGCATAGATGGCATGCTGTCCTACACGATCATGTGAAAACTGCCTTTTTTCCTTTGCTCCTCCTCCCTTCTCCCCTTCCTCCCCCCCCCTTTTTTTTTTTAAACTTCACAGGAAATATTTAGTAGAAATATAAAGCATCACAAAGGAGAGATGTCAAGTACTACTAAATACCATTATCAAACTGTCACTGGCCACTCTGAAAAGCTATTCTGTTAAAAAGTATACCAGTTTTGCCAGCTTTTCCATAGAATAGTTTGGTAAGGCAGAGAAATAACTTTCTTCTCTCCAGAGAAGAAAGACTTTGGTTTTGGGGGGGTTTGTTTTTTGAAATTGTAATTCACTGTCCTGATACAGAAAAGTTTTCTTCACGTTATTCTGCCACAGCAGTTTTTCTTCATGTTATTCTGCCATAGCAGCTACTTCTGAAACACAGTGCATCGTGACAAACGTATTCTCCTTCCTGCACATCCCTATAAGGCTGCTCAGAAAGTGCAGGTTCACTCTCCTCACTATGTTATCTTTGCAGCATTCCAGGAGCTTGGTTTCCTTGACTGAACCAGATAAAGGCTCTGTCTTCCAGGTTCCCTGCAAATTAGGCCTGCCAAATCCCAGTATAAGATCAATCCCTGTCTGTTTCCTGCCAGAAATACCAGGCTATATCCCAAATGTATCTGTTTCCGTCACATTTTCCCTCCTGCTTCCTATTCCTCTGGGAAAGATCCCACAATGATAGCCACCTCTCTTATAAAGAGTCACCTCTAACCTGTTTGAGGGACCAATATTTCCTGAAAATAATTCGATTGTTTGTGTAACCACTAAAGTGATTAGGATTTCTCCTGCTATTGAGTAACTTGTCTTAAACTCTGCAAGAGGCTCTTCTCTGATACAGCCCATTCCCTATCTGCAAAGCAGAGGCCTGGGAACACACTGATTTCTTATGCTGCCTCCTCTAGTTTGAAATGGGAGTCACTAAAGACTGAACATTTTTTAGTGTCAATGCAACTATATTAGCATAAAGGCACCTCTGGGAGCAAACTATACTGTTGTTGCATGAATAAGGACAATGTATAGCTATCTACATCAGGGCTATACCAGCTTAATAGTTGCAAGTATCACAATCAAAATAGCTAAAAACTGCTGCATTTAGAGTAGGTCTGTAACTTTGAAATGTCCTTTGATACCAAGCTGTAAATGGTGCCGCATGTTAAGGTAAAAAGCTTCCAAGCACTCCTGTTATGTCCTGTCTCAGCGTCAAGCACCAGCAACACAAAGATGTGCAATACTGTGAGCACCAGGACGCCCAGCACCCAGGGGCCAGGTTGGAACGGCTGCCAGCCAGCAGACTAAGCACCCTGGTCCTGCCAGCACAACCAGGCCTCTCGCTCCCTGTGCAGCAGACTGTTCAACAGCAACTCAGAGCACAAGCAATTACTTTTCTTTCTCCTTTTCTGCTGAGCTTTGAATCACAGAAAAGTGGCGCAAACATCTGCTCATACATATGTCCTTCTTGCATATACCCTGCATATTTAAGTGACCAGTTTTATTCCAAAAGTACCAAAACACAAAAGAAACAACTTCAGGAACAGAAATTTAAGTTTGGATCCTGTAGTTCTTGGACAGGCAAACACACCAAAGTCATCTGCAGTTTCTCTCACATTAAGACTATTGATCGGGATTAACTAAGTGGCGGGAGAGAATGAGGAAGATACTCTGGAAAATAAACTGACAAGAAAATGTATTATGTCACTATCCCCTTCTTGTCCTGCTCTCTCCAAACCCTTAGAAGTACTTTGTACTCGAGAGTCAATTATCTTCATATTATTCATTTCTTACTAACGTAAATATTTTGGGGTTTTAGATTAGAAAGGTATTTGAATTAGACACCACTACCTAGACAGTTTTGATGACGTGGCTGATCACAAGTTCTAAAGTAATGGAATGATCTAAGTCTCAGCTTCACACTTCCATCTAGAAGAGGAACTAGAAAGCAGGATTTCATTTTCCAGTTGTACTGAGAGATCAGAATCACTTCTAGACCTGAATTATAATTCACAGAATCACAGAATGGTTGAGGTTGGAAGGGATCTCTGGAGATCATCTAGTGCAATCCCCCTGCTCCAGCAGGGACACCCAGAGCATGGGGCACAGGGCGGCATCCAGACGGGTTTGGAAGATCCCCAGAGAAGGAGACTCCACAGCCTCCCTGGGCAGCCTATTCCAGGGCTCTATCACCCTCACAGGAAAGAAGTTCTTCCTCACATGCAGATGGAACTTCCTGTGTTTCAACTTGTACCCATAACTAAATATAACATAAGGAAAGACTATAGCTTAACAACTGAGTGCAACATTACCACTACAGAAGTTTAGCTACATAAGAGATGCTTCTATGTACTAATGCTACAAAAYAGGTATTTTATTCACAGTCAACATCTGGATAGAGAGGACCCAGAAAAGAGCCTACCCATTATAAAACCCAAGGAACTGAAAAACATGGAAAGCTTGAAGGAATCCTTTGCACAGGAACTCATTTCACGTCCAGAGGATCTATACTCAGTCCCTCCTGCCTCATACACAGCTTTTGGAAACAGGAGAGCAGAACGTACATCAGGAATGTAATTAACACTGGTTGTGCCTGTCTGTACCTCCCGAGCCTTAGCTACCCACGAACTGTGGCTTCACAAGCACYGGTCAGTGCCAGCAAGAAACATCCCTGTGGCACCATCTGCCGGCTCGGGAGCGGCTGTGCTGCTCAGTGTGCGCCCCTGTCACTGCAGRGACTGGGGGGCTTTGGAGCTCATGAGCTCCAGGATCCAACGCACTGTAAACACATGTGAGAGGCCAAGACGTGTAGTGCCACACAGTGTCTTCTGCTCCGTTCTCACCTGGGAAATGCAGCCAGCTTGGAGCTCTGCAGAGATGAAGCCTCTTCAAGCAGAACAGGCACAGGAGGCGATGAGGGCAGCTCTGTAAGAGGCCGCCCATCCTCCTCAGGAGGCACGGGCAGCTTTTGCTAATCCACAGGCCACAGTATCTACACGGCCATAAGCTSCAGTCAACAGCCTGCTCTGCTCTGCCCGTCACCCTGAATGTATCTTCTTGTGTCTGAGAAAAACACACTACACTTTCTATTTTGGTAGGCCTTGTCTTATCAATAAAACAAACCAAAGACCCAGGTTTTAAAGTTTCTTCCACCCAACCCTGTTCTTTAATGCACGAGTTTTCTGCAGATGTCAAATGTATAGCCATGACTTCATTAATGTGTTTACATTCATGTACATCCTGCAATTTATAAAGCACTCTGGCCATCAGAAGGAAAAACAACTTATTCAAAGTGCTTTCAGTAAGGCTTTGAATAACTTGCTTCACATAGGGCCATAAAGAGCAGCCTTCTGGCTGATACTTTCTGGCATTTTTCAAAGAATTACACTCCAGCTCGTTCCGTATGCAACAGAACCCACCAAGCCGAATTTGCAATGGATTTGTACTGTGTGTCCCATTCCCACCACAATAACCCCAACTTCCCCCCTGTGTCTTATGACACATCCTCCCAATAACAGATATAACATGTTGTGGCTCATGTGGAGCTAGACACACGGCAGCTGGCTAGACACTTCACACGTGGGCTCTGCTCGGGCAGCTGCTGCCAAGAACACGCACATCTGTGCAAAGAGCCTCTTGTCTGCGTCTCTCCTCCTCCCAAGAACAGCTTTCTGAGTTGTAGGAACTTAACTGTCTTTGAGACTTTCTCCTTTCCTTGAAATTTGATTGAAAGTGGTCAGCAGTTTCCAAAGTTTCTGATGAGAAAGGAATGGGAAGACACGCCAGCTACAGAAGCGTCTTTAAGGAATCAGGCCAACAACTCGCATGGATCTTAAAAGTTATGTGAAAACTTTGGCTTTAGACACACCAAAAAAAAAAAAAAAAAAAAAAAAAAAAAAAAAAAAAAGGACAAAAGTTGCAAGTGAAAATAGTTATTAATGAACAGAATGAACATCAGCCCTTTTGCTAGTCAGACTGTCATCTAGATTTTGAAATTCTGCCCACTCAAAGGTAGGAAACAGCAACTGAGTATTATCCAAACCTAAGAGAAAATTGCAAGTGCTAAAGCACTTTCCTTTGAGAGAGTCACAGATTACCTTATATGTAAAGGAAGCGAGTGATACACTGCCTGCCCACATTCTTTTGCAAAGTACATGACAACTCCTTCTTTAATTTGCCATGGAAATGCCAGTAGATGGATCACTGCAACTTCCCAGGCGAGGGTGATTATAATAGGAACAAAAGAAACGCTAAACTACCAGCTGCTCTGCAAGGAGAACGATCATTTTCCCCATTAGTAGCTGAAACACGTCTTATTTCATTCACTTTTGCACAGAGCAAATGTCAAGTTTCAATCTTTACGTACAGGGGACACATCACTCCAAAACTGTCTGGTCTTGTACCTCCAAGCCTGTTTATCTTATATCATTTCCAATGCTACTGCGTCTAGGATACTTCCAGTGCACCAGAGTACTCCAAGACAACAGTCTTAGAAAACTGAACATCSCCAGTGCTAACAGATGTCCTGAGCCTAAAGAGTTAACAGACAAAGCTCATATGCAATCGAGAAAGCTGTTCAGCTACTGCGGGTTTACAAACATTGCAGAAATGCCACTGGAAGGAAATTCTTGTGGCTAAAGAAAAGACTCAGAACCAGAAGACCTGGTTCTACTCTTCCACAAATGCTGCGCTCCGTGAGCATATGACTTCAAGCTACTTCCTCAGACACTGTGCAGAAGATCTCCTCACTTGTAAATACTTTTTAATTGCGTATATCAAGAAGATGACTGGCCTTCATATAACTAAGTGCTTTAAGGTCTATTAATATGACCCCATGTGTAAAGTCTGAGGACAAGAGCTTTGGTTTCAGCATTCAAGTGGGAGATAAGAACTAGCTTGGGCTAAGAGGGCCAAGAGCAAGTTTTGAAATCTCCCACGTGCCTATAAACACAATATATGTTTTTACTTTTACGCCTGGTTTCTTCCTTCCTTCAACAGCTGTGCATGGAAGCCACTCTCCTTCTATTGCCCCTTCACTGCCCAGGAGCGTCTGTAACACTGAATTTTTGCACCATTTACATATAGATCCAGGAAGAGAKGSGATAGAAACTGAGAAAAGCCCCTTYTGCAGCCCAGTAAGTGTTAAAAACACACATACACACAAAAGTTATTCCCCTTGGAATAACTTGGATTCAGATTCTAGTCCCTTCCCTTAAACATGCTCAAGCCCTTACCCTCCAGAGACTTCAGAGCAAATGGAAAGCCAGTCATCTGGACAGTTAAAATAACCCTTTGTTTTAACCCTGGGTAGGAAGAGGTTTCTACATGGACTATCATGGACTATCCTGTTCTGCTMTTCTGAACATAAAGTTATGTTTCCATTATGTACAATATTTTGGTGCTACTTTGAAAAAAATAATTTTCTTAACAATTTAACAAGGTTTTTATTGAAAAATATCTAAATAAAGTCCTCTGAAGATAGAATATGCATTRTTTCCCCTATAAAAATATAAGTTAGCTTAGTACAAAATAAACAATATACCAAAATATATTCTCCCTGCATCAAAACAACGGCAACTCCTCAACAGTGTCAAATAAGAGGTTAGTCTCTGCTACAGCTTTACATCCTGGCATGCTGCATATCTGAGTTTGCACCACGAAGGAATAACATGCGAAACACCAAGGGGAGTAACTTTTTTTTTTTCCTCCTCTCACCACAAAGTTGTGTTAGTCAACGTGATACCTCCCTTGGCAGGACTCCCTTGTGGGACTGGGCCTCTAAGAGGATGGCTTCTCACATGTCAGTTATCAAAGCAGCATTAAAACATGCCCTTTTATTACACTCTTATAAATAAAAGCATTTTTTTTTTTTTTTTTTTAATTTTTCACCCTGACATATCCAGAGCTCTCCAAGCTCCTGCGTGAAGAGCATTTCCGAGGAATTAATCCATGTGCTGAAGGAAGCAGTGGGCCCCGAGCCACGCGCCTCTGGCCTGMACTGGGTGGCTTTTCCYGGGGAGCCTGTCCCTCCTGTGTCCRTTGGGCCACAGGTGCCAGGAGCAGCAGGGGCCTTGCCCGCTCACCATGGGCGCCAGGGGCAGTACAGGCCCTTGCCCACTCACCACAGGCAGCACAGGCCCTTGCCCACTCACCACGGGCTCGAGCAGGGGCCCCTGCCCGCTCACCACGGGCTCGAGCAGGGGCCATCGCAGCGGGACTGACACCCGCAGCTGCAGCGCGGCCCTGCACACGGGACCCTGCACGGCTGCTGCCTTTTATAGCCCCACACCGGCCTCCCTGCCGTGGGCTCGAGTCACATCGCCGTTCTCTAGCCAACCTGCACCCCAGCAAGGTGAGAAGACATACAAGATTTCTCCCCCTTGGTCTGCACTCCTTTCACCCCTTTTTCTGCTCCCATGCTTCCTCTATCTGACACCCTTTGCTCTGCTTCTGTGTGAGAGGCTCCCGCAGCGCCCAGCGGAGCCGGACGGCCCTGCTGTCGCCGTCCCCCCCACAGCATCCTCCTCGCGGCTCAACCCCTCTCACGGCCACCCCCACATACCCCGACACCTTCCCACACGGCCAGTGCCCCCTGTTCACACCTCGGCTCCCTCCTGCCCTCTCTCCAGCCCTCCCCAGAGCCCCGTCCTGCCGCTTCCCGGACCCCCCCCCGCAGGGTCGGGCATGATTCCCCCCCCCCGGGTCCCAGCCCGCCGCCCAACCCCTCCGCTCCGCCACGGCGCCTCCATCCCCCCGCTCGGCGCCCACGCTCCAGCCCAGGGCCCGCCCTGCCTCCCCCCACAGCTGCACGCGGGGCCAGGCCCTGCCCCACGGCTCGGGACCGCCGGACCCGCGCACTAGCGGCGGGCCCCGCTGCCCCCCGGCTCCCGCGCCGCCGGGCCGGCCCCACGGCTCGGCGGGCGCCACTCACACGTCTCGTCGCCGCCGCTCTCCGCGTCCCCATCCGAGAAGGACTCGGCCCCGTCGCCGTAGCCCGCCAGCCCCACGATCTCCTCCTCCTCTTCCTCCTCCTCGTCGCCCTCCTCCTCCTCCTGCAGCTTCCTCGGCACCTGGCTCATACCGGCCGCGCCGCGGCCGCCTCCGCGCCGCTCCGAGGGCCCCTCTGCGGCCTGTGGCGGCGCCGGGCAGGGCAAGGCCC